CATTCTTAGCCATGTAGGGTAAATAATAACCATGATGTTACAGGCAAGGCCTTTTAGCGAAAGCTTGAGAGGAGCTTTGAGCAACTTTCTCAGCAAAGCTGCTTCTAACCTGGGAGTTCACTCTGTGCCACGTATTCTGTACTTAAGGTGTACAGTAAAATGATTGTCGGTGTGGGAATGGGCAATGCCAATTTAAAGTGACTGCCTGTTATCTTGGACTGGTATAAGTAAAAAATAAGTAAAAACATGTTCCTTGTCTCAAACTGTCAGCTATAAATATTCAGCCCATCTTTACTATCCAAGCAGAGGCAGTTGTTGCATTTCTTTTCTCTGTTCTTTTTTTGTTCTCTGCTGAATCCACACAACTACAGCTCTGAGTTGAGAGTGTTAAAAGGGGAGAGTGTTTGTCCCCTTTAGGTGGCATGTGACCTTTACTTCTGATACAATGGCAGCATGTTCTTCAGGGGATAAATGTGGGCTTTAGACTAAATTATATCTAAACTGCTACAATCAAGGAAGCGTTTTACTAAGTTACAAGAGCAATCTTCTTATGATGCAGTAAACTTGCTAAAGGGTGCAAAAGCAAATGAGTTGTTGTGAGTTAGTTCTCTAATTCCAGTGTAGGTCTGTCAGTATCTAGTTTAAGATATTTACAGGACCCATAAGGGACTTCAGATCATTTGCTCTGAAAAGAGGTTCTAGTTTTCTAGGTTTGTGAAGAACTCAGTTCCAGTAATCCTCCCTTTCTTCCCCATTTCCGTCCCTCCCTGAAGGTCATCACATTCCAGTTTCCTAGATGAAAGGATGTTACCAGAATCGTTGCACAACTCCTGTGCGAGAACAATTAGCAGGGTGGTGTCTGAGACGGCCGTCTTTGCGTGGTCTTAAAATTAAGCTGCAAACTGCCAAGAAAGCCAGCTGCTGGAGGATTGCTGCAGGCCTTCTAGGCCTATGGTAGAGCAGATGTGAACAGAGCTCTGAGCTTCAGAAGATGTTTGGGCTGGGAAGGGATTTTGAGGTCCTGTCTGAATGCTTGAGTATTGTTTGGGCACAAGTGGGATTAGCGCTGGTACCCAGTCACTGCTGCCTCCAGGCACTGCTTGGTTTGTGTGGTGGGGTTTTGTCAGTGGGGTGGGGGGTGGCTACAGGGGCAGCTCCTGTGAGAAGCTGGTAGAAGGTTCCCTGGCTCCAGGTTGGACCTGCATCTGGCCAAGGCCAAGCCAGTGAGTGATGGTGGTGCTGCCTCTGTGAGAACACATTTAAGAAAAAAATAAAACCTGCAGCAGAGAGAGGAGTGGGATGTGAGAGAAACAACCACACAGACACCAAGGTCAGTAAAAAAAGGAGGCGAGGAGATGTGCTGGAACAGAGATTCCCCTGCACCTTGTGGTGAGACAGCAGCTGTGCCCCTGCAGCCATGGAGGTCAGTGGTGGAGCAGAGATACACCTGCAGCCCCTGGAGGACCCCATGCTGGAGCAGGTGGATGTGCTTGAAGGAGTCTGTCGCACTGGTGCAGGCTTGTGCTGACAGGACCTGTGGCCCTGTGGAGAGAGCAGACCAGCCTGGAGCAGGTTTGCTGGCAGGACTTGTGACCCCGTGGAGTGCCCATGCTGGAGCAGTTTGTTCCTGAAGGACTGCACCTCACAGAAGGGACCCACTCTGGAGCAGTTAATGAAGAACTGCAGCCTGTAGGAAGGACTCAGGTTGGAGAATTTCATGTAGGACTGTCTCCCATGGGAGGCACCCCACACTGGAGCAGGGGAAGAGTGTGAGGAGTCCTCCCCCTGAAAAGGAAGGAGCAGCAGGGACAATGTGTGACGAACTGACCACAACCCCCATTCCCTGTCCCCCTGTGCTGCTGTGTGTGAGGAGATAGAGAAAATTGTGAGTGAAGTGAAGCCCGGGAAGAAGGGGTAGGTGGTTTTAAGATCTGTTTTTATTTCTCCTTATTGTCCTCTGATTTGATTGGTAATAGATTAAATTGATTTTTTTTCCCTGTGTTGAGTCTGTTTTGCACATGATGGTAATTGGTGAGTGATCTCTCCTTGTCCTTGTCTCAACCCATAAGGTTTTACCTTTTTTCCTTCTGATTCTCCTTCCCATCCTGCTGGAGTGGGAGGAGTGAGCGAGCGGCCTTGTGGTGGTTATTTCTGTCTGGGCGTAAACCACAACAGTTTCTTTGTGGTCACAGAAAACATGGTAAAACTGTAGTAGCAGTAAACAGCCTGCTGCGCTAGCTTGTGCCAGTGAGGCTTAACCAGCAAATGTTAACAGAGCTGGAGACTGGGTGTATGCTTTTTGGATAATATTGCAAGCCCTGTTCAGTTAGTATGTGGCGTCACTCAAGTGCAGGATTTTACAGTGGACTAGGTGACTAAATAAGTCGAAGTGCAGAGGAGAGTAGTTGCCCAGGATGCAGGGAGAAAGAAAAGCAAAGGACAAGGAACTAGTGCCCAGGTCTTTTTTGATTCCTAGTGCTTTGCTCCACGACAACTACAGTTTTCTTTAGAAGGTGCGAATGACATGTGGGGGATAGTGAGAAGACACCACTGAGTATGTTGGCAAGTTCTTAGTAATATTGTTGTAGCCTTAGTGACAAGTTTTTAGAGAGGTAATGATTTCATTAAATTGATTGATGGTTCTGGAGTGGAGTAAAAGCTGACAGGCTTTTGAGACCCACAAACCTGAAGAAGGCAAGTGTCTTCCAAATCTGTCAGTTACTGTAGTAGGTGGTTATGTCTCTGTAGAGAACTGAAAAACTTGTGCATGAAACTTGTTTACATCTCAAAGCACTCTTCAATCTATAAGGGCAAATCTAGAATCGTAAGATCTTTTTATGGGAAA